GGCAGCTGCGGCGTCGCCTCTCCCGGTCCCTGCGGCGCCCCCGAGCCGGCCGCTGTCGCCGCCTCGAAGCCTGGGGAGTGCCCGCTGTTGTGCTCCCTGCCCGTCCCTGCGCGCTCCCTTCCTCTCCGGGCTTGTGCGGTGCGTTCCAAGCGCCTCGCGTCCTTACTGCAAGCAGTGCCATCAGATTTGTCCCTTTGTTTTACTTTTGCTTTCCAGAAATGCCCAGCAGCGAGCTTGACGCCCTGCTGGCAGGGAGCCAGGCTAGCTGGACGCGTAAGGGCGTTTCGGGAGACTCGGGGAGGTGTCCGTGGCGCTTGGATCCGCTGACACAGCGCGGGAGCGATCCTGGCCCCGGGCCTGTGGCCGAGGTGCTGTCGGTGCAGAGCTATCGTGCTCGCTGTCCGGCAGACCCCCTTAAGCACGCTTTTTGAGCCATTTTCAATCCATTTCCTCAGAACTTCGTGGGTTTTTTTGTACATTTTCAGAAACTTGGACTGTGAGATGATCATGGGATGCTTGGAGTTGAGTGTTTTACTTTATTTCCACTTCCCCCCAGAGCAGCTTTGAGAAGAGCAAAAGTCGTTGTGTGTCAAAAAGGCACGGATAGATGCCCCCTTCTCGCACCTGAGTTCCCTGAGAGCTGTAAACTGCTGCTGGCTTCTCTGCTTGCTGAATTTGCCTTGGGTCACTAGGAACTAGGGCCACTCTTCACTACAGCTCCTGCCAGCAGTGGTGATTATTAAAAAAATGTGGGTATTTGCTAATGTTTCTGGTGCCGGGAGCCCAAGCGGAGGGTAAAGATGCGTTGTCCGAATGTATCTACTCCACTGCAAGTGTGGATGTGTGAACAGGTGTGCAGGTGTGTTCGAGGAGAAAAAAAAGGGAGGCATTTTGACAGAATTGGCTGTATCAAAACTAGGTTGGTTTGGTGGTGTAGCCTAGCCTGGTAAACTGTATTATGTATAAAGTCTTTTTTTTTTTTAAACATTTTGCTAGCTGAATAAAAAAAACTAATTTCAAAAGCAATTGCATTTCACTAGCCTGTGTGCATGTATACTTTATATGGGTGCAAAATTGGATTATGCTGACACAGGTTAAACTGATTAAGTAGCTGGATAAGGACATTTTCTGCATTTTTTTTTTCACCAGACTGACTCACGTGGTATCAAAAAGCACCATAGACTAGTTGTAACTTTGTGTATGTGGTAAGCCTATAACTGGATAAATTGAAATGTAATTCCCCCTAGCATCTGCAGTCTGGGGGAGGGCAAGTCCCCACAGCCTAGGTTCCTAACACAGTCCAGGTGTTCCATCACGCAGCTCTGCAGCTCATAGTGAGTGCCTGCCCCTCAGCCAGGAGCTGTGGTTCTGCTAGACGTGTAGGCCACAAAGCTGAGGGTAGTGTAGATGCCCTTACCTCATATGTAGGGTGTCAAGTGATTCCACTTGGCAAGAAATAAAATTACTAAAATATTGTCCCTTAATGTTTTGAGCCCTGAATATAAACTTACATCTGCACCATTAGTAAAAAACGTTTTACTGGCCCTATACCCCTGTATACATATTTCCTACATTTTGTAGGAATTTCCTACATTTGTAGGAGTTTCCTACATTTTGTAGGAAATAGGTACACCTACAAAATGGTATATGTATTTGCTACACCCGAGAATTCCCTTGTAGTTTACAAAGATTGGAAGAAACTACAGCTTGCTATGTCTATTTTAGTTTTATTTGCAGTGTAATTGTAGCATGTGCATTAAAACACAGTACTGTAAGTTTACAATCAATGGGTAATAGAATTAAGTTTACGGAGCTTATTCTTTGCAAACCATCTCCATGTATAAATAAGTGAGAAGAGAGATCTAAATACCAAAAGGAACTTTGCAATATATACCAGGGGTGTAAAAGGCATCTAGGAACATAGAACAGAATTTGGAGCAAGGAGCTGGTGGAATTGGAACTGTTTTTTTTTTTTTTTTTTTCTTAATGGCAGCCTCTTTACAGAACTAGAGCCTCTCTCCTTTTTGAAACTGTAGTTATTTGATAATAGATAAATGACCGTGAAAAGTAAGGTTTTAAAAGAGTGCTATGATGGCTGTAAGTATGGATAATTCAGGAGTAGGTCTTTGGAAGATAAGGCAGTTCTTGTGTGGTGCTCACCTTCTTTCTGCTGAAATTCTGCTCCTGCTCTACATAGTTCAAAGAACCAGATGGAACTGGAGAGGGTCTAGAGAAAAGTTACAGGAATGATTGAAAGATTTGGAAACTCGCTTTATTGTGAATTTCTTAAATCATTTTTTGTATTTTGGTTAACAAGAGGAAACACATTATTGAAAATCATTTCTGTGGTGAAAGTAACCACTCTGTAAACTAAAAAGAGTTTTTCAATAGTGATAAGCAGGTACCTGCAATATCAACACCTAGACTGAGTTTGAAAAATATGGTTTTTAGAAATTGCTGTTTGCAAATCTAGTTATGTGTTATGGTGACAGAATTAATGACTCTTGGATATGTACATCCAAAATTTCATTAGCTTCCTAAAAGTAAGTTCCTTCTTGGTTTTCTCTAAGTATTTTAGACACAATCAGCAAAGAAGTAATAGTATGACACTTGATTGGCTTCCTAGAATGAAAAATGACTGTAGGGCTTTTTGTGCAAATTTGTCTTTTTCTTTCTTTCTTTCTTTCTTCTTTTGTGCAGTTTTTTTGAGGGTCCTTCTCCTCTCCCCTAAACATCACACCTAGTTCTTGTTCTGCAGTTCCCGCTGATGCTGATATTTTCCCTAGGGAAGAAAATAACATGTTGTTATGAGAACTTCTTGCTTATCTCTGTTGGAGATCCTGTTCTCCTAATGGTTTCTTTTGAGTATAGAGTGTTTTTATGATGTTCTCTCTTTCTCTCTCTCTCTGTCTCTCATTTTACACATACTGCACCAAGTAAAGTTCCACTATAGGTGTGCTTCAAATATTTGCTTGGTCTGCATCTTTTTGGAAGAGAACTGGATGCAATTCTGCCAGCCTTGTTGTGCAACAGTCTGTGAGTTTTCTGTGTGTTTAAATGGCTCTCATATTTGATTTCTAGCAAGAAAGTATAAGAAATCAAAGCTAAAAACATCTTAAGGGAAGGTGGGTGAATAAAGCTTTTATTAGCATGATGATTACAAGAAGATAATTTAGTAAAGGTTCCTTATTTGTAAATATCTGTGTAAACATCGGTATATTATAGGTGTAACCACCTGGATTTAAATGCCTACATAGTTTGTTATTTGCAAATAGTATTGTAGCATTAAATCAGATGGGTGCTTGTTTGCCCATCAAGAAATGGACTATATGAAGTCAAATTTGTCCATGGGAAATGATCTGGAATTATGCAGGGAAGTAAACAAATAACCTTTGGAAAAATATTTACTTTATAGCACCAAGAAAGTCGTAATTGGATTTGCATTCTAATTCTGGCTGCTCTAACTTTCATAATCTTTGGTTTTTCTCTTGCTGTTTGCTAATGGACTAATTTTTCTTTTTTTTTTTCTTTTTTATTTTTTTAAGCACTTGAGTGGATTGTCACGTTCACTTGAAGACGCAGCAGAGGAAGATGTTTCCCATTGTTCAGTATCAGCCTCTAAGACTAATAACCCAAAACACTCCTTCTAATATGTGCTTAAAACTGATGTTTTCAAGACCCGTAGCTTTCCCACAAACATGGAAGTCATGGCTCTCAAGCCATTCTCTCCTTGGAAACAAGAATGTTATCCTAATGGGACCTCCGGGTGCTGGGAAAACAACAGTAGGGAGAATAGTAGGTCAGAAACTAGACTGCCCTGTCATAGATGTTGATGATGATGTCCTTGAAACAACGTGGAATATGAGTGTGTCAGAAAAGCTGCAGGATGTTGGTAACGAGCAATTTTTAGAGGAGGAAGGAAAAGCCCTGTTGAAACTCTCAGCATCTGGCAGTGTAATTTCCCTTACTGGGTCCAATCCCCTGCATGCTGCTAGCATGCAGCACGTGAAGCGCAACGGCCTCGTCGTGTACCTGGACGTGCCCACCGCAGTCATTATGCGCAGGCTGCAGGTAATGCGAGTGGATCGCATTGTCGGCCAGGGCCCTGGGGTGTCTCTCAGGGACATCCTTCAGTTTCGGAAGCAGTTTTACAAACGGTGGCACGATATCCGTGTTCTTTGTGCAGGGGAGAGTACAGCAGAGGCCGTAGCAGAAAAGGTACTTGATGCAGTTAAGCGATACCAAAACTCGGAATTGGAAACTTTTATTTCAACTAGGGCTAGTAGGTCTGGAAATTGTAAGGAAAAAGACTCTGCTAAATATTTCAGTGATGTTGTCACTGAGGGCCTAGCCCCTGACGGAGGACTCTTTGTTCCCGAGAATGGACTTCCAAAATTATCTGCTGGAGAATGGCAAAGCCTGATAGAAGCAACCTATGTTGAAAGAGCCCAAGTAATACTGGAAAGGTGCATACATCCAGCTGATATTCCTGCTTCTACCCTGGGAGAAATCATTGCCACTGCCTATGGAGAAAACTTCACTTGTTCTAAAATTGCCCCGGTTAGGCACCTGACAGGCAACCAGTTTCTCCTTGAGCTGTTTCATGGCCCAACAGCTTCATTTAAGGATTTTGCATTGCAGATAATGCCACATATATTTGCATACTGTGTTCCCAGAAGTTGCAATTACCTGGTTCTGGTCGCTACTTCTGGAGACACAGGGAGCGCCGTCTTGGATGGCTTCAGCCGGCTCCGTGATGCTGACAAACAGAGAATTGCCGTGATGAGTTTTTTTCCTGAGGATGGCGTAAGCCAAATTCAGAAATCACAGATGATTGGCTGTCAGAAAGAAAATGCCCGGTCAATAGGTGTCAAATCTGATTTTGACTTTTGCCAGACAGCAATAAAACAAATCTTTACTAATTCTGATTATACTGGCTTTCTTACCATAGAATATGGAACAGCTTTAGCTGCAGCAAACTCAATAAACTGGGCACGGCTGCTCCCTCAGATAGTTTATCATGCCTCTGCATACCTTGACCTTGTTAATCAGGATATTATTGCTTTCGGAAGCCCTGTAGATGTCTGCATTCCTACAGGAAACTTTGGCAACATATTAGCTGCATTGTATGCTAAAATGATGGGAATTCCTATTAGGAAATGCATATGTGCTTCCAATGAAAACAATGTTTTGACAGACTTTGTAAGAACAGGTACGTATGATTTGAGGGGAAGAAGGTTAATTCCCACTTCATCCCCAGCAATTGATATTTTGAAGTCCTCCAATCTTGAACGGTATTTGCATCTGATTGCTAGTGGTGATGGGCAACTTGTGTCACAGTTATATAACCAGCTGGAAAATCAGGGCCACTTCCAGCTACAGAGAGGGCTACTAGAAAAGCTTCAACGGGACGTGGTGGCAGGGTGGTGCTCCGAGGAGGACTGTCTCGCTGCCATCCACTCTGTGTACAGTACTACGGGGTATATTTTGGATACACACACAGCTGTTGCTAAAGTAGTTGCGGATCGATTGCAAGACAGGACTTGCCCAATTATTATTTCATCTACGGCTCATTATTCTAAGTTTGCACCTGCCATCTTGAGGGCTTTGAGGATTGCAGAAATAAAACAGAATCCGTTAAGTCAGCTTCACTTGCTGAGCTCTTACAGCCCTCTGCCTCCAGTCCACTGGGGCCTGTTAGAGACACTGAAAAGGAATGAGAATGAGGGTCATCAGATCTGTGCTGCTGATACGAGTGTGCTCATGTCTCACATAGAAGCCTTAATTCAAAGCCATTTTACGAAAGTTTACTAAGTAAATCTGTCTTAAACACGCATCTGTTGTGCCAATTGCAATACTTTCTTGACAAAATGCACGCTTAATACACTCTGTGCAGTTCACAGCTGAACTTCCTCAATTTCATATTCAGTTGCAACAATACACATAAAGCAGTGTGCGTGAGGATTTGGGTAGTGGTGAAAGGTTCTGAATGAAGAGCATCAAAAGGCTGACATGTGCCCGTCACGTGTAGCACAGACAGCAGCAGCGCAGGCTTTGCTGAGCAGCGCTGGTTCCTGCATGAGCCTGAAGCCTTCTCCAGAGGTGGAGGTAGGGAAGTGCTCTGGCCCTTCTGAGCCCCATAGCTCTGGTTTCGAGAGAGGGGTGCGATCAGTGGGTGGTTAGTTAATCTATCTCACTTCACTTAGGGAACTGAAATATTATCAGCCATTGCATTTATGCTTGTATGTTACCAGTGAGGGTTTATATCAATACAGAGATTCAAGTGTAAATGTGTTGTTAAGCCTTTAAGCTATCCAGTTTGGTACTCTGTTTTGTATGTTGTTATTATGTACTGTGAGGCCAATGCTTATATAAAAATTTGATTCTTTTGATTTTTTTTTTCCGTTTTTTCTCCTCAGATATTTTTCTCTGTAAAACAGAACCCTTTGTTCAATATTTGCAATAACTTTTGAAACACAGTTCTTCAGTGAGATGTACTTTCTTGTGCCTTTTCTACTTTAAAGTTTAGATTTTTTTTTTTACTGTACAATAATTTATTTTTAATAGCAATCTCCAGTGTAAATAAATATTTAATTTTAGTTCTTATTTCTTGCATTTAAAATTTTTAGGATACAAGTTTTATCTTAAAGGTCATATGGCTTTCTGAGAATATCCTAATTACTTCTGTTATCTCTTTATTTCCTAAATACTTACTTGTTTTGTTGGAAATAATGTAAGAAAGAAACTTCCTAAATCTCTTAGCACTTCATCAAGAGAAGTGCATGATGAATTTCAGAGTCTGGAAATTGTGATGGCTTCAAAGGGATTCCTTATACAACCTAAACAATGTTTGTGTTAGCAGTCTGATTTTCCTAATGATGTAAATCAGCAAACTATTTTGAAAAATTCAGTTTGCATAATGTGATGTATTGGATTCCAGTGTAAGCCAAAAGACTTGAGCAATATGTTTGCCACAGTGAATACGTTACACGATGTTAGATGTAGCCAGTTAGAAAGGTGTGACACACAACGTTTTCTATATTCTGCCATGCTTGGACGTACTTTCAGGATTTTCTATTCTCCACTCAATCCTATCTTGCTATTTCTGCAGTAATTTTGCAAAATCACTTTGCATTGTATTCTCCAGAGGCAACATGCGAGAGGCTGGATAATATGTAATGAAAATCTCCGTACTGTAAGAACAAATTGCATAAATATATTGCCAAAAAAAAAGTACTGCTGGTCTAGATATACTGGTGCAGATCTACCTTTTGTGTCTGGACATTTGTGCTTATTTTTCACATTAGTCTCAAGGGAAAAGAAATATAAGGCTCTCACTGTATGTGCTCAGGGCAAAACCAGAATTCTAAATTGAGCTGCTGGCCCAGGAGCCAATTTCAGCATGAGGAATTTCTCTGTGGAATTTGTTAGCACCTGGCTTCACAGGACTTAATGCCATTTGCTGTAACAAACTGTGACAATGCATTCTAGAAACATCTGAAATGAGGAACTTGGTTTTCAAAACAGTGCCAAAAAGGAGAAAAACCTCCAGATTTTAAACAACATTACACTAGAAATCTGTGATCTACTTTGATTTATTTGATTTATTAGATAGGAAGAAGTGAGCTGCCTCCCTAACAGGTATTTATTCTGGCATGACTCTTAACAATCAATATTTCAAAGTTCAATATTTTCAAAGTTCAGTTATAACTTAAACTTAGTTTGAAGAAAAAAAATGAGTAAAATTCTGAGCTGATGTTTTTGTGTCCCTTTAACCACTGTCACAGTTGAAACTGTCCCACAAACTGAAGAAGTGTAAAGGTTCAATGGAGCTCCTGGTCCTAAGCAGGACCTAAACCCCACTGCATGAAGGCAGTGGTTGAAGAGCCCATTTAGAAGGTGTTTTTCAGAATGTCTGAAGGCTTTAACAATAGAGTGTTTATGATTTTGGGGCAATTTTGTGTCTTTAGCTTAAATATGAAGTGTTAATATGAATTTAAATACGAAGTGTGCATCACATCTTCTTGTGCACTCCAGAAATGGATGCTGTAAAAATAGAGCATCAGCATTAGGATTCTGGATTTGCACAGTTTGTGTTAACAGGTGGCTGATGCTGTGTCATGAGAGCAGCCGCAGAAAATCTCCTTGCTTTGTGCTGTGGGGCCTGGAGGGCTGGGAGAGGAGATTTCCAGGATCCTCGCTGCCGAGATTGGCTGCAGGGAGATGGGGTAGAGAGGGAAGCAATTCTTCCATTGCTGCCAATGCCTTGCTAAAGGTCATTCAGCAAAATTCTGCAGTTAACAAATATCAGGGTAGTATTACTGCATGTTCTTTCACTGCTGGTATGATGAAAGACTTAAAGGGCATTAACCATTAAGAGTGGACAGTCAGAGCTAGTTTTTCCATCTTTTGTAGCAATTGCGCCAATGAACGTTGTCAATGCAATGTCAGTGCAAGATTTTGCATCAACTCCTTTGGGAAGATGATGCATTAATGACACAGAAAAGCAAATTTCTGTTGTGATAGATCAAGAAATTCTTAAAACTCTTGAAGCTTGGTGTATGCACAGTTTGCCCCTGTTTACCTAAAGACAGGATGTTGCAGCCTAAGTCAACACAAGCCACGTGTGTGAGCAGGCGTGTGCACGCGCCTGCCCTTGCCCTGCTGACCTGGAGCAGTGGTGTGGGTTCAGTTGCACTCTTACACTTCTCTACAGATAAATCTTTGCTGACCAGAAACTACCTGCAGAATTTTATGGATAGATGTAACAGATTATGTAATGTCTGTATTTACACTTTTTATTAAAAGGCTATTTATATGGAAAATACTTTGTTTTGCTAACAACCCTACCAACTGCTCATCACTTGCGTTAGTCACAGTACTGCTGACTTAGGGGGACAGAGAATGATTCCAAATAACGGGCAAATAGAACAGATAGGGGTGACTTCCAAAGGGAGAATTGTTTTTCTAACATCTTGCAATGCAAAAAGAACTATTATTTAGGTTTTTAAAGTGATGTGATATTTTAGCAGAGGGAACTACACAAAAGATGCTTATTTTTCAACAGATCAACTTGGTTCAAGGACACCAAGAATATACATTGCGTATATCACACTTTATGCATGCTTAAAATATGCATATACGTCTTTGTATTCACTGTATTTTTTTTCCTAAATAAATAGCAAGAGATCCATGGTCTAGCATTTTCTTTGCAGATATGTTCTTAAATTCCATCTATGTGATGAAAATAAAATAAAGAAGTGGTTTCAGAATTTGCTATTTTTAAAAGTCTTGAAAGACATATTCCTTCCTGTATTTTGTTTGAAGATGGGCATATAGTAAATACTTCAGTAATTTGCTGTGCTGAGATTGACAGGTGTTAGTAAAATAGCTCATGTCATTTAGAAAGAATATAAAAGAACCCTAAATATCTAAAGCCTATATTTACATTGCACCACAAACTTTATAATGCTGCAAGGTATATCTGTCTTCTGAGAATTTTAAACAGACAAGTAAAGAAAATCCAGTTAAATCTTTCCCTTGTTTACACTTAGTTCAGTGGTGGGTTGAACCAGTTTTCTGTCAACAGTTGGCTTGGACAGCAGTGATTTGATTTCCTTAGGCTGTCTCTTTTCTGGCTGAAAAGTGGCCTTTAAATGGCTGAAATAGTGGTATGAAATGGCTTGTTCATTCCGGTGAATTAACCTTAACAAGCAGGTAATTCTAAACACATATTAGCTACTTAAATGATTTAAATGCTAGTATTTTTCATCCCAGTCATAAATATGCTCAGCACATTTATCAAAAGTGGGAAATTATTGCTTTAATTTCAAATTTTCAGAATACAGCCGTTGAGAAGGCAGTCCAGGCTGGGTCTTGCTCTCCAGCTCAGGTTTAACTGCTGAAGGTCTCCTGGCCTTGTGGTGGGTTGGTGTTGGTTGTAGAAGAAGGTTCCAGAAGGTTTTTCTCTCTGTAAGAGAACAGAGCTCTGTAAGATGCTCTCTGGCCTCTTTTGTGACTGCAGTGTCATGAAACATGAGTGGGGATCAGAGCATGGGCTACTAGTAGCTGGATAAAGCTAAGGAAACAACATGCTTGTTAGGAGGATTATCCAGCAGTGTTTTATAAAGCATCTTATTTACCTGGTTGTGTGCAGTTTCTCATAAAATTTAGCTGGACACATGAAATGATGACGTTTTTTCCTGTGCTTCACAGGAACATGTTTCATAAAAAATATCTCAGACTTTACAAACTCAGTTATGTGGCACACAACCGTTACTCTAGCATTTTATTTAGAAATTTCATCATTGGTATTTGGAATACCCTGAGATTTTCAGATACCTTTTATTTTATTTGAAACATGTTATTGCCATGGAAACACACATAATGCCATCCCACAATATAAAAATTCTTTGTGACACTAATTGGGTCCAAATCTCAAAGAGATCTCAAAATGCAATTCTGAAAGGACAACTGAAACGAAAAAAAATTGTTATGTGGATTTTACTCTTATTCATGATTTTGTTATGAAAAGACAAAAATAAACGACCCATCAAATTTATAGATGAGACAGAACTTAAATAACGACAGGGCCAGGTTACTTAGAATAGGAGGAATTCTTTGACTGTAAGGAGCAGTAAGCAAAGTGAATTTGCAGCTAAAAGTGTGTGTTTAGGAAGAGATTTTAGGTCATACTCAAAAAATGGAGAGCTTTGTTCTGCAAAATGGCGACCTTGAAAACTATTTGTAGATAATGTGTATGCTCAGCTGAATGTGGATTTCCAGCAGGTATCGTGGCCCATAGGAGCAGGAGCAATGGGAGTGTTGTAAAGGAAG